GCTAGCTAATAGTAGCCCGCTATGTGGGAACGGGTGCACGGACATACGGCAATGTAGGGCACTGATGGGCTACCGTAGGGGTACGTTATGAACGTTGGCTGAAACTGAGGTACCTCATTGGCTTGGAACAAATCACGGGGTACTCGCCCACTTGTGCAGCGGATATGTAGTTTGGAGAAGTGGACTACAAACTGGACTACAAGTGCAAAAGCATGTAATTTTTGGCAATAAACTACGAATTTGATGTGATCATTTGAATCTGTATACCCTCTAGGCTAATCTCGGAGCGAGGCAGCTCTTAGAATTCATACGAGTTCGAGCAATGCCAGAAAGTGTCCAAACCCCATTATAAATTCCCATAGGGATTTTACTTCCGACACCAGAAGCTAAGTAGCGGTGACGTCATCACTTTAGCACTCTATGGGAAATTTTACTTCCGACACCAGCGTGACGTCATCACTTTAGTACTCTATGGCTGTGTCCCAATTCAGAGGCTGCGTCCTTCGAAGGATGCAGCCGCTGAATTGGCACACAGCCTATAGCGATAGTTCTCGTGATGTCACGAACCTGGTCACGTGGGTTTGTTGACTAGCGTGGTTGGCAAAAAGCCTCAACATTACAATTGATTTTATAGGAGAAGTACAGTTGTATTCTACTTTCTGTAATAATGCCAGATAGTTGGAGCGTAATTAACCGCACAAACCGATTCGTTAAGGGCTCAGGAATACGTTTCCTTCGTATTCCTGAACAAGAACCTAAAAAATCTGCTTGGATCAATTCAATTCGACGAAAGAACTGGGTGCCTTCGACCCACTCGCGTGTTTGCACTATCCACTTTTGGTCGGGTAAGTCGCAAGTTATTTTCCATCATTTCTAACATGACATTTTGCTAAGTTTTCGCATTTTATTATTCGCAAGGGAATGATCTTCATTTTTGTGTTGGGTAATTCGATCGGTTCCTCATGCTTTCCAGTAGCGAGTAAGTGACAGTTCGGATATTAGTACTGAAAAGAATTCTGTTTTCAACCGTCATCAGTATCGAATGAGATCAGTACTTTTTTGGCTTAGCTTGACTTTTGGGTATCCAGAGAAACATTCGAGTGAGTAAAAACCTCAAGCGTACATCCAGTTTAGAAAATTTAGAGTTTAATGTCTACTGCAGCTGTAACGGCTGCAGCCTTGTTACTGATGACACACCAGCTGGCTAGGGAATGCGCAGTGTATGCATTCGCAATATTAAATATTAATGATAAATTCTAAACCCCCTTATCACGAATATCCCGGGTGTCTCAATTAAATATGAGTAGATATCATCGAAGGTCAAGTCCGGCCAAAGAGAAGGGTCGTTCCTCCAACCTTTCAGCTCTTAAGGATCCGAAAGCCTACACAGACCTTCATTGTACGTAAGCTTCGAGAAATATCTTGCCTTCGCGGTACTGTCGAGATTTCGTACATATTCAGAGACCGCCGAATTGGTTCCACAACTGCAGGATGCCATACTTCCCCGTTTTGTTGTATTGATGTACACTTGTTCTTGCCAACCATGCTAATGCATATGCCTGAATATGACGTCAACGTTTGTAAACAAGAACTATCGCTATTGGGAAACAAACTACACTCGTCAAATCAAACTTTGTGATTTTCAATAATTTATCGTATTGCCTCTTATTTCTACAATCCACTATGACCGTTCCACCCCGTGTTGCTCTCACTGCCTTTACATCTCCAATTTCACATTTTATAAATCTTCCCACTTCATGCATATCACTAAAAAGACAGCTTGCACGACAGCCTATAACTGCATCCTTCATTCCCACAACATATTCTTCTTCCCCACCTTCATTCCCACTACCCTTTTTCCTCTTTTTTTTGAACTTTCTGCCACGTCGCACTCCATTTTTTAAAACTCCCGGTTAGAAATCCCTAAACGCAAGTTTTCGCAGCTCTAGTCCGCCCTCTCGCAGCTCATCCAGTGGCCTTTCTTTCGTCGACTCCCACTCCCGGTCGCTCTTCTATCCTCCTGTCTCCCGGATGTTGTCCTGCATCTTCAACAACTCATGACCAGACAGCGTAACCAATCTGCTCTAACCTCAAATCAGGAACTGCAGCTCAAACTACACAACTTTACATTACTTGAGACGACGGATTTGAGTAAAATCTGTGAGGCTGAATGATGGTCGATGCGGTGTATGTAGCCTAAATTATCATCGTGGTTATTTCGACAGAATTAACACTGGTTTTGACAGACAGTTGCACTTAAATGCAGTGTTAGAATACCTACAGGAAATGTGCTGCTGTTCAGTTTGGGTCAGAAATATAATTCTCTCAAAAAATGGCCTAATGACCATAGACTAGGATTGCGTGTCCAAAAGAAAAAAAAAACTTTAAATTTTGTGATTGATTATTAGTTGAACTTTAGATACATTAGTGTAATTTATGCATCATAACAATGAGAAAATAAATTATCTATCAGTTTACTTGGCTGAATTAGAGTAAAAGTGATTTAAACGAAATATGGTCAACAGTCATCAGACCGTAGTCTCCCTTCCAAAATGATGAAAAAAGGGAAAACTCTTGATGGTTAATTTTTTTCCTCTAAATTACTTTGGAGCCATTTATGCATAATAAATATGGAAACAAATAAATAAAACATCAGTCAGCTTGGCTCAGGGTCGAAAATGCATATCATTGGCTATAGTCCATGTTCAAAATGATGAAAAAAGGACAATACTTTTGACAGTCAACTCTTTCACATACAATAGTTAGACAGCATTTATGCACCTTAGCCTAACCCTTTTCAAATAGCTTGCTTTTGAAGGTGCAATACATACAGTAAATGAGTAAACGGGTATCCTGTGGCATCAGAAACGCACCGATGAGTCATATTTCAGGGCGGGAACAAACAACCGATGTGGCCGTATGGATTGGAGGACGTGTCGGTTTTTCACCATGTGGCGAGGGTCAACCGCTTCTTGCTTGTAAACAATGGGGAGGTTGTGGGTGCTCCTTTTGTATCCAAGCATGATAGCGTTTCATATTCAGTACCGGTACCCCCTTTTTGCAGCAATCCAACACAATCCATGTCTTATCTTGCCCCAGTGCCAGCTTTTTTGTAATGTATAGCAGGCATATACATCAAAATCAGACTGAGCAGGTATTTTCAAAGGTACAGCGAAGTTGAAAGGGAGACACATAAAATATCTCGTCTCTGTGCTGTTTTTGAAATAATGCAGGTTAAGAATGACTTACTCTTCACAGTTTTATTATTTTATTGGCAGTTTCCACATCAACCTAACTTTTCTTGGAAATAGGGTTGAAAATCTGGCCCAGTGTGTTTATATCAGTGTTCAAATGACATTAGATCATCTAAACAACGCAAAATTTCTCTGGAGAATTCACAAAGACAAAAACTGTTTGTGCACAAAGATTAGTGGCTCTGCTGCACATTCACATTGTTGAGCAATGATTGGGAAATTCCCTCACGCAGCTGAGCAGTGATTGGTAGTTCCCTCACACTGCTAAGCTGTGATTGGTAGTTCCCTCACATTGCTGGGCAGTGATTGGTAGTTCCATGGAGGTAATAATAGAACTGGAGAGAGCGAGGAAGTACCACCCCTATGACTTTCAATGGGAGATGCTAGGCTAGCTACCTCAGCCCAGGAAGTATGGAATTGACCAACGCCATCTATAAAAATGGCGTTCCATGGGTGCTTATTTCCGGCACCATTTCATAAGATTGCCAATCTGATTACACAGCACAACTGGCCAAGAAAATGTGTCGTCTGTGCGGATTGGCGAATGTGTTCAGGGGAAATGACGAGCAACGCTGTTGATCTGGGGACGCAAGACGCACTATACACTCATTGGCTGAACTGCTGCAGTCAGAGCAACAGCTGGACAACCAAACTCGTGCACGAGCTGTCATCAAGCTCTAAGTAGCAGTTCTTATTTTACAGGCCCTCTTGAAAACATCGAACAGCTGCGTCAGACAAAGAGCAAAATAATGAAGGATTACCAAATACATTTTCTTTTGTTTTCGCTTTATTTTGCAAGAAAAAAAATGCGCACTTTTCAATTGGCATCTATGGAGCTTTGGCCACAAAATTGCATCCTTGGGAAACGCGGAAGCAGGAAGCTAACATGCTAACTGGCTGAAGCAAAGGTACTTCCTCGTTCTCTCTGGTTCTATTATATATCTCTATGGGTAGTTCCCTCACACTGCTGAGTAGTGATTGGTAGTTCACACAGCCACACTGTTGGGGATGCGGTCTGGGCTCAGATAGTAATATGGCAATTCCATGCCCTCATTCCTGGCCTTAATAAAACGGGACACCTCCGCCAGTTTCTTCCGGTACTTCTCCATGGCCTCCTTCACTGGTTTTTCGATAAAATGCTCGTCTGGATACATTCCCAAAAACAGCTGTGAGAGGGACAAAACCACAAACATTATTTCTTCCATCAAAAGCCGCTGGTTACCTCTCATTTATATGCTGCTACTCTGGGACTCAATCTGCTACACTGCAGGTAACCACAGGAGTCTTCCAGAAACAGGGCTGGAGGTCAATGCCGGGCCTGTTGAGGTGACCATATGTCTTTTCTTTTTTTTTTTTTTTAAATAAATTTGGCATCTCCAATCCCACCCGAATCTGGAATGCCCAATTCGAGAACTATGTACAAGGCTTGCCCGTATGCGACCCCATGTTGCCAGCTTCGGGAGAGCGAGACAGTTCGCGGCTCTTCCCCAAGCACGCGCCTGTCAGTCGCTGCTTCTTTACACTCATAGGTTGAAACCTTGCATGTTCAGAACGAGGGCGGAGGATGCCCGAACATGAGCAAGCTTAGAATCTTACTGACAACGCCCGGCTGGCCAACAGGAGGCGCTTGAGCAACAAACAAGGCAATCATTTTTAATTTCCCTTCCCAGCAGTCCCGTCCCAATTTGTATTCCCTGCAATGCAAAGCCAACTGTGCGTTGCTCTGAAAAAGCTGCCGACCGCTGCTGACTGGTGCATCTGGGGATCGAACCCGCACTGTGGTAGCCACAACTGCTCCGCAATGCAGCGCCTTAACCGAGTGAGCTAACCTGGCAGCCCGTGCACGTATGTTTCTGTCCATCTGCAATTTACTGCATCCGAGTGCAAACACGTGCTGTATGGACATCCTTGCCCGTATTCAGTTGTCAGTGTAATGCTGAGGCTCCTAGCGAGTGAAGTGACATTCCCACCACGTTATGATTTGGTATTAAGTGAGGAAACTGGGCCTCCTTTGAGCAGCACTTTCAGGTCCAGTGCTGAACGCTGTCTATATCCGACTGTATTCTGTTTCATGCTGATGAGTGTACTTTAAGGGATGATTCAAAAACTAAAAACAAAGAAACACATTCACTTAAGGAATTTTAACTGGGAGGCATTTCTTGGTCACTGTATGGCCTGAACCCAAATTTCTTTGAAGTAACACATTTAAGAGATAAACAGCTCTAATGAAATGCTGTGGTCACCGGAGAGAGGCAGTCCCGCTGAGCTGTACCTCATTGTCCTGAAACTGACTGAGGGCCCAAGCAGCACCCATGTGCCAACAGGATCGCCCGCGATCAGGCAGGCTTGCGGCGATGTACTCCATCGTTGCCATCCCTTTCTTTGTGGGCGGGGGTTGCCGCATGGTGGACGGGCAGTTGGGGATCCAGGAGTACCAGTTAAACTGCAAGATAAACACACGACATAACGAACAACCAGCAGGCAATATTTTTTTATCCCTATGGACACTGATGGACTTCAAACCAATCACGTCTGGGAAATCCAAAGTGTCATTTAGAAGAAGGGAAGGTCATTTGCAATTACAGCAAGTGGACTTTCAAGCTCTGCTGACACAGACTGCACCATTCCCCATTATAAGAACTGAAAAGTTTGGCAATGACTGAAGTTTAATTTTATACATTTTGTGCAGAGCAGCTGTACATAAACACTCGAGATATTTCATGTTTTCTGACTCATGTCAGGATAAAAGTCTGTCATTGTGACGAAGTGAAGAAGTTATTGCTTGTTTTATAGTGGCCAGCAGATGGTGCTAAAAAATACCAGGGTTTAGGGGGAGAGTGAGTCTGGCTTACACACCAGCCGTGCTCTAATCGCTGAGTACCTGCTACTCAATTTCTAATTGCCGCAGAGTAGCCAATAATACAAAATAAGAGACCAACAGAAGATTTACCAGAATGCCAAAGATATTTGGATGACGTGCTACACTGGCAAACTCTGCAACCAGAACAGTGTTTGTGCTGTACTGAGCCACAAACACAGGCTTCATCCCAAAACCCACACTTGCAGTTTTGACTGCAGATTCTCGTGCCACCGAATAAGTGCCGATGACTGTCCCATTCCTGAAAATGGCCAAACTCAGATGCACTTAAAGGACCAGTGTGTAAGATTTAGACAGACAATCTGGCTGAATAACTGGCAGGAATGGAATATAATATTCAAAAGTACATTTTCATCAGTGATTATTTCCTGAAAATAAGAATCATAGTGTTTTCTTTTATCCAGAATGAGCCCTTCATATCAACAGAGAGAGCGGGTCCTCTTCCACGGAGCTCGCCATTTTGCACCGCCATGTTTCTACAGTAGCCCAGAAAGGGAAAAAAGTAATTAAATAAAGCACTGACACAAGAGCGCACCTTCCTCTTTCATAGCATTCTTTTCGTGTCTCACATTGGGAACGCCTTCTGCGTGACCTCATCAGAAGCTCCTATTACATTCTGCCAGCCAGGATTGGCTGGAGCAAAACGCGTCAGTGTCAAGGAGGGTGAAGACCCTCCCCCTATAAAATAGCCTGACGCTACGAAATCAGTCATTCAAAAACCTCTTCTCGCTACGAGCAGAAGTTCCGAATCTCTCTCGAACGAACAGACTTTCCGGGACCAAGCTAAACTGTCCATTGATACGAGCGAAAAAACTCGATCACCGGGCGCTTTGTTCACGGTCTGTACAGTTCTTCGAGAATTACTGCTCACACTAGTCTGTCTCCAAACAGTAGTCTGAGCTGGCTAACTGCAGAGTAGCGATACTTTGAGCAGTTAGCTAGACGGAGTGGCAATGCTCAACGGTAGCAATACCCAAAGTAGAAATACTTTTTCCCCAAACTAACTTTAGCTCCTGCGAGCTAAACAAGCAAATCAGAGTAGCAATACTCCCGCTGTATAACCCTCCTGGAAGTCGCAACACTCCCGGTTGGCTCAACGCTATCTTGTAGCCACACAAGGTTAGCAACAGCACACAAGTACAGCGTAGCCTCACGGCTAACAGGCCCTGCTAGTGACCATGGCAGACGCTAAAGGCACCACTAAAGCAGAGGACTTAACTCAGGCGCGAGCCTGCCCTTGCGGGAATAAAATTTCCAGCGGGGACACTCACCCAATATGCGTGATGTGTCTTGGCCTGAAGCATGCCCAAGCAGCCTTTGAGTCAGTGGAGGAGTGCACACACTGTGTCCGGGTTCCCCCTCAAAGTGCTACGTCGCCGACTGGCTCTGTCTGATTTAATTTGTCCGGCGGCGACTCCAATTATAGCTTCTACCGCAGAGGCTCAGGAACCGATGGAACTAGTTGTAACCATGGCTCCAGAGGCTGATGCTGGAATGAGCTGGGGGGATCAGCTCGACTTCACCGACCCGCTGCCTGAGGAGCTAGCTGGGCCCTGCCTTGCGGCAGGCCCGCTACATTGTCCGGTGGAAACAGCGGATGATGATTCGGACGGAGGGTCCGAATTCCTCATGACAGACGAGGACGATGACTCTTCACTGACGCTGTCGGGGCGGGTTGCAAAACCTGAAACTTCAGCGGCAGCTCTGGCTGGAGACGGGGGCTCCCCTTATCCCACATTGGACTTAGATTTGCAGGACGTGTGCAAACGCGCGGCTGCTAAGCTGAATGTCCAATGGCCAGAAGTCCGCCGAGGTGACGCGCCTCGTTTCGACGGGAAGAAGTTACCGAAAGTGAAGAGAACGGGAAAACAACTCCTTCCCATTTTCCCTGAATTATTGGATGAACTTGCTTTCTCTTGGCGCGACAAGCCATACAGAGACAAGCATCCGATAACAGGCAGCTCCTTGCTCGACTGTGAGGGAATGGAGAGCCACGGCCTACGCAACATGCCCACTGTAGAGTCAGGGGTGGCGGCTCACCTTCATCCAAAGACATTCCTGTCTTCACCAGGGCTGACACTTCCCTCCAAGACGGACTGTTTCCAGTCCAGTCTAACAGATAAGGCATACAAGGCGGCTGCACTGTTGGTTCGGACCCTCAATGCCTCTTCCTCTTGATGGCATGCATCAAGCCGAGTTGAAGAGGAAATGACGGCGTTGCCTGATTCAGCCTTATGGGATGAGATGTGCATCATTACCGATCACTGCCTTCATCTACACAAGGTAGCGATTCAGTCGCAAAGCAGAGCCATGGGGTTGATGGTCTTGCAGGAGAGAGCCCGTTGGCTGAACCTCACTACCCTGTCGACCAAAGACAAGGAGGATCTCCTTGATACCCCCATAACACCCCAGGGCCTCTTCGGGGCAGCAGTCACGTCCATGCAAAAGAGGTGTGAAGAGAGAAAGAGGGATGATGAAGCCCTGAAGCTGTGCCTGCCGAGAAAGGTGCCCCCTGTCACCCCTCTGCCCCATCGCCAAACCTTTGCCCAGGTGACCGCTGGGCTGGCCTCCTCCCCGCCTTTTTTTAGGGCCCCTAGGCCGCCTAAGCCTCAAGCAGCACCTCAGGCCCCGCTGAGGGCACAGGCTTCAAAGGGCCCATGGCAGAAAAAGTCTTTCCGTCAGGAAGGTTCTCGGGCTGACCAGCCGCCTCCTACCCCCACTAACGCGGTGAGGAGGAAGAAGCGTTTGGCCTAACAGCGCCCCTGGAGGCGGTGAGCGAGCGGGCCTTGCTCCCCCTCAGGCCCCACTTCACCACAGCAGCTCCGTTCAGGAGCAGTTTCAACCAAAGTGGTTCTGTTTGGCACATGGACAAAGGGATGTTCAGCCCAGTCCAGCGACCTTAAAGAGAGGCAGAGACAGTGTTCAATTGATGGAAGCCTGCAGTGGTCCCATAACATGTCTCACAAGCACTTCTCAATGTTTCACGAAATTAAAGTTGCCCCAACTGTCGATCCAGGCAATGTGCCAAGGACGCAGTTGAAAACATTGAAAAACAAAATAAAGCCAGTGTTGCAAAAACAATTTAGACATTCCAGAGGGAGTGACCCTCCCTCCAGCATAGGCAACCCTGCCGCGAATGTAATGTCTCACGATGCATAATACCGCTCGAACGGTACATAGCTCCTACAGCGCAAGGGGGGCGCCAGATTCAATGTCTAGCAGACTGGCCTGTCAGCCCGCTGTCTCTAAGAACAGAGAGCTGGTCAGAATGCACAAGCTCCGAGTGGGTTATGAGAACATTAAGCAGGGGATACAGGCTTCAGTTCACCTATAAAACCTCCTCAGTTCAGAGGGATAATTCAGTCGCAAGTCAGAGGTCGCTCGTTTTCTACAGGAAGAGATTTCTTCCTGTTAGAGAAAAAGAGCAATAAGAATGATCCTCTCTAACACAGCCGAGCGGGTTTTACTCAAGGTATTTCCTGGTTCCCAAAAAAGGGAAGTCGCGACATGCGTGCAATATTAGATCTCAGAAATCTAAACAAGCACCTCAGGAAATACAAATTCAGGATGTTAACGATGCTTCTCTGTTGCGTTTTCTGCGTCGGGCGATTGGTTCACTTCAATCGACCTCAAGGACGCTTTTATTTTCACATCCCAATATACCCACCGCACAGGAAGTATCTCAGATTCGCCTTTCAGGGCACGTGCTACGAATACCTTGTGCTTCCCTTCGGTCTATCTCTAAGCCCAAGAGTATTTGTGAAATGTACCGAGGCAGCGGTGGGGCCACTCAGAAGGCGAGGTGTCAGAGTAGCCACTTACATCGACGATTGGCTCCACAGGCATCTTCCCGCCAGGGGGCAGCAGATCACACAAGGTTGCTCACGGAACACTTGGAAAACCTGGGCTTCAAAATAAATCTGGAAAAGAGTGTTCTTCTCCCATGTCAGACCATC